TTAGAACATAATTTCATCTCATAATAGACTAAAAATGTATTATTTTTCGACTATTTTCATTGAACTGGTAACTTATTGTCCAAAAATAGATATAAAAGAATTCCAAGTGATTCTTTTTTCTGTAACACGAATGCATCAATTCCCTTAGAAGTATTTCTGAGGCTCTTAGGATCCACCCCAATAAAACGATACCAACTATTGGTTTGGTATTTTGGGTTTTCCGTGAGTAGTACATATTCTAACCAAAAACTATTTATATTGACTTAATATTCGGGGCATATATACCATTACCATGTTGGCGATTTTGGGTACGTTTTTTCACCTGTACTTTGGGTACATATTGTGTAATGTTCCTTTCAAACTTCATATTTTTGTAGAAGTTGGGTTCTCATGAAGTAGCATATCTTTGAAATTATTATTTTTATGGATTCGCAGTACCCTTTGGATTACTACCATTACATTCTCAGGACATTTTGGATTGTTTTTTTTTTTCAATAGAAAAATTGTTTTATTTCTTTTTATTATTTTCAACACATTTATTCTGGATAAAATATGTTTTCTATTAAAAAAATAATAAAAGAAAATTGTCCAAATTTGCTCTGTTCATAAAAATAGTAGTAATAATCTTAAAAGGAAAAAAGCACTAACTTTTTGGATAAAAGCAGCGGTATTTTGTTGTAAATACCTTATTTTTATTACAGGCTCGTAACGTCAAGGGTATAGTTGATTAGGTCCTTGCATCGCTGTTCTGGTATTTGGGCCCATATTTGTTGCACTGCATTCCATAGATCGGCTTTTGTTGTTGGTTTGGCATTGGTCACACATCGTCCTACATCTGCCAAAAAGTTTTCTATCAGATTAATATCCGGTGACTGCACAGGCCGTGGCATTACGTCAGTCCTTTCTGATACAAATCAGTACTTTGCGAGTTTGCTGTTTTGGATGTGTATTAAAGATGGTATTCCGTTTTTGGGGGTAATAAGAACATACTGCCTGAAGCCTGTTCTTCCATATAAGACCATTTTTTGTTTCATTTGTCCATAATATGTTACGCCACTTTTCTAGAGGCCAGCCTTTATGAGATTTTGCAAAATTCAACTTAGTGTTGGCATGCTTCCTGGTCAAAATGGGGACCTCTCTAGGACTTCTGGCATACAGATTATTTTCGATCAATCTCCGGCGTACAGTCACATCACTGATTTTTAGATTTAAATTAGTTTTTATCATTTCAGAGGTCGATGAAGGGTTCAACATACTGTACCGTACTAGGCACCTATTTCCCAAATTTCTAGTGCTACGCCTACGAATACGTTGTTCAAGTTTTTTTCTTATCCGTTATTGCGTTGAATACCCTTGTAGCACTGTATCCAATGATATTTTTCATGTCTTTGTACATTGTTATCAACCATCTTGACGCAGCCGTGCAAGGTTTTCCTCTTTCCACTAAAAATTAATACCATCAAACGGCACTATAGTGCTTGTTTACAAAACACTTATTTTTGGCATTATTTATCTGTTTTATTAACATTCACTTCGACCACTACTATTTTAATAAACAGTACATTTTTCATGAATTCTACCAAACTAGAGGAAGTTTAGAATGCAAATCTCTCGGGACGTTATTCGTTTTCATGATCTTTAGATTCCATTCTTAAAAATGTGTATACCAATGACGAATTTGGTTGTTTGAATGGCATTTGTAAATTGATCAATTCCACTACTATTTTTGTAAACACAACTGTATATACTTGATCTGTATATAATTCTATGTGGTCTGCTGAAATAAGATTAGAGCTCGCAATATTTAATATAGAATCTTTTGAATGTTCAGTATTGAAAATGGGATATATCAGTCCACATTTTGGTATAGCTCTCATATAACGGTTTGAACCAAATTCCTTGCAATTTAATATCTACACATTGGACAGAAAATCATCCTACCGTATATGGTTATCTACCTAATTTCGGGTCAAAAATCCCCAAATTTAGGGGACCCATATTATGGTGGCTACGCTTAAACGTAGACCAATATTAAAAAAATTGTGTACGGATATGTGCTATACAATTAGAACCCATAATACAAAATAACAGCCAATTTGATTGGAAAACATGTGCAAAATACGAAATACTTGGGGTACCATTATATGGTGGCTACCCTGAAACTTGGGTCAATCTTAGATATTTTTGGTACGGATATGTGCTACGTAATGAGAACCCAGAGTATCAAATTGCAATCAATTCTGTAAAACGTGTCTCTGAAACTTGCGTCAATATTAATATTTTTTGGTACGGAGCTATTCTATGAGAACACAAAATACAATTACGGTAGTACAAAATGAAAAAATTCGCTGTGGAAAACAGAAATTTACTGTGAAAAAAATGCATTCCGCCCCCCCCCCCCTTCTTACGTCCCTGATGGGAGCTATATCTACATCTGAAGAGATTTTCTCGAAAATCAACACACATCATTCTACACTTAATTCAGTACGCTATGCCAGATTTCGTGAGCCGTGCCAAATTTCATCGAATTTGATATAATTATAACCATGATGATTCATTTTTTGGACCATGACTTTATTTATAGAGACTACTCAGATTTCCTACATAAAAACTCAGGTTTAGATAATTATTCATTTCTAGAGAAGCAAATATTTGTATGGAATAGAAAATTCACTTATGTACCAAAAAATAACTTGAGAAATTATGGAAATAAACTCCTCAGGTCATTCTACGAAAAAATAAATAACTCAGGCTACCGAAGAAATTTCTTCTATTGAAAAAAATCTAAGGACTCTCAAACGTTTTTTTTTTTTAACATAAAAAATCGAGAAAGCCATTATTATTGAAAACCTCTAGAAATACATTACAACATGAAATTGAATATTTTTATATACGTGAAACCACTGTGTAACATATTGTCGTTATAGTTTACAGTGATAATTATTCCACATACATAGTATGTGATATTGCTATATATGTAAATACATATGTATTCTGGAATTCCTCAACAATGTGTACATCTGTGAAAAAAACTTTTAAGAACGAATTCATTTGATATTGTTTTCGTTATTTTTTTGTATTGATGACGTGTTCTCCCAAACACTTATTTGCTAATTAAACTGCATTCAGTCATTCATTCATTTTCCAACGTTGAATCATTTCGATACTGAGATTATTTCCGTCAAATCAAAACAATAAAACCGTTAACCGGCAAGCGAGTCGAATTGAGGAAAGGAATTTCACCTGTGAACAAAGTGCTTCACATTGTCTTGCCATTCACAACAATTAACGATGTTTGTGGATATGTATGTCATGTTATTTTGTGTATAATATAGGCATTTTTAAAATGTAATTTTCTTTGTTGGACCAGATTTTTATAAAAAAAAACCCTCGTAGCTTGACCATTAGGACTTTTTTAAGGTCAGGAGTCCTTAACTACAGACACTCAGACCGGGCTAGTTCCTTGAACATAGCGAAAATGAGACGTGACCTTTGTATTAGACCACATATAAAGAAGAACTATTAGGTTGGGAAAAATGTCGATAAAATCGGAGAAATGATCGACGTTGAGCGGCATGTTAACAGTCGCAACATCACCCAGGAGCTAAAATTCGACCATAAAAATGTTTCAAACCATTTAAATAAAGCTGGATTCGATAAGAAGTTCGATGTTTGGGCGCCACAAAAATTAACAGAAAAAATAGGATGTATCGAATTTACATTGGCGAAGCCTTGGCCAAACAGAATGAGATAGATCCATTTCTTAAACGGATGGCAATTGGAAATGAGAAATGGATCATATACGATAACCCTGTGCGAAAACGATCGTGGTCAAAGATCAATACCTGGCCAAACCAGGACTAACGGCCAGAAAGGTTCTGCTATGTATTTGGTGGGACTGGAAGGGGATTATTTATTATGAGCGACTCCCATATTGTCACACGCTAAATTCTGATCTCTACTGTCAACAACTAGACCGTTTGAAAATAGCAATTTAACTGAAACAGCCAGAATTGGCCAATAGGAGAGGTGTCGTGTTCCACCAGAACAACGCTAGGCCACAAACATCAACAGTGACTCGCCAGAAACTTCGGGAGCTTGGTTGGGAAGTTTTAATGCATCCGCCATACAGTCCGGACTTGGCAACAAACGATTACCATATTTTCCTTGCATTGCAAAATTTCTTTAATGATAAAAAAAATGGTATCTAGGGAAGATTGTGAAAATCGACTACTAGAGTTTTTTGCAAATAGAGAGCAGGACTTCTATGAGAGAGGCATTTGACCCAAACTGGACATTCCGAAGCATGTTAATGTCCTATAGTGTATATAAAAATAATGGATTTTTTTTTCCCCAACCTAATATATTGAATATGTTCTATGGTGGTGTTATATACCCTCTTATGAGGAGGCTATCCCGAGGTTTGGTCCTATATTGATAGATTTTCGGTAGACAGGTTTTCTATACGATTTTTCACTTAAAAGTCCGGGTCTCTTTGAAATGCAAAATATTGAACGATTATAATTATTATAACATCGGCAGTGACAAGTAAAACAGACTAGCAGGGCTAGACTTTAACCGATATTGAAGTATCAAATTCCACCTAATATCAGTGGGTGGAAAACTCCAAAAGCTAAAAATTTGACGTCCGAATTTAGCCCAGAATGATGTGTCTTGAGTTTTGTCGAATTTGGTTTAGATTTAGAACCCATTTATATTTTAATTCGATCATATGAACCAAATACCCAACATTTGTTCGATTCAATGACATTTTGCACAGAACTGTGTCCACCAGGGATGGTACGCCTACATTTACAATCAAAAATCATTAAAGTGGAATATTTGGAGCAGAGGGACTTAGGAGCATATCTTGTATAAATCCAAAGTGGTGTATCATATATTCGGTTCGTCTGACTTCGGTCTTTATTGGAATACACATATACAGGTATTTTATTTCCATGTAGATATATTTACATAATAAAATTTAATTCTCAAATTTACTAAAACAATTTAAATGGATTAAATCCAGACGATGGACCTTCTGTTGTTTTTTCTTCTTTTTCCATTTTTAAATTTTCTGTCTTCTCTTCGTCATCATCAAATGGGTTCGGTGACATTTCAGCTTCATAGTCCGCATCGTCACCATCTTCGCCATCGGCGAAATTGGAATCGTAAGTCTCATCATCCCACTCAACATCGGGTAATTTCTCCATTTCTGTAGGTTCGATTGTTGTTGTAGTAGTCATTGGAGTAGTTATGGTAGTTGTAGGTCTGGGTGTAGTTGAAGTCGACGGTCTGGTAGTAGTTGTTGTGGTAGTCGTAGGTCTAGCAGTAGTAGTTGTTGTGGTAGTAGTTGTTGGTCTAGCTGTAGTAGTTGTAGTCGTAGATGTGGCAGTAGTGGTTGTTGTGGTAGTCGTTTTGGCAGTTGTAGTGGTTGTCGTACTTGGGGGTGTCATTGTAGTGCTCGGCCTTTTATAGGGACCACCTTGTTTCCAATATTGTTGACCTAAATATATATTTTCGTTAAATCACTTTCCCTAATAATTATTTCTTAAGAAAAAGTAATCCTCAGGACCTGTGGGTCTTGACGAATTTTTTTCTATAGAAAAAAAACTGATCCTCAGGGTCCTGACGAATTTTTTTTCTATAGAAAAAACTGATCCTCAGGATCCTGACGAATTTTTTTTCTATAGAAAAAAGTGATCCTCAGGGTCGTGACGATTTTTTTCTATAGAAAAAAAACTAAGCCTCAGGGTCCTGACGATTTTTTTCTATAGAAAAAAACTGATCCTCAGGGTCCTGACGATTTTTTTTCTATAGAAAAAAGTAATTATTATTGGCCTGAGGATTTTTCTCTATAGAAAGAAATCTAGTCGTCACGGACCTGATCAATGAATCTGATATTTTTGTTTTTTTTTCACTATACTTACATTCTTCCAATTCCCGATGAAAATCACAAAATATATATCTGTCTAATTCCTCATCGGATATATGATACCATGGTGCTGGTGGCCTGCGACGTGTTTCAAATATCTCAAAATATTCATCCACATACTGGTCTGGCTCTGCAGATGGTCGACGTCGTACATAGCGGCGATATATTATAGGTGTATTACTTCCACTCGTTTGGAAATCTCTTCCACTTCGTAATCCGCCGTCAATGGGTATTGCATCGACATTACTAAAAGTGAAAGTGTACACAATCACTAAACTTACAGCTGATACAAGCGTTAATACGTTCATTACGATCGCAAATTTACGAGAAGAATGAATTCTAATATTTTTTTAGAAATGCAAATATAATTTTTTTTGTTATTTATAAATCAAGACATCGAGCATCTTGTTTTTGGTGTTTGCTGATAAAGTTAATTAAGTTCATGATCTTCATATTTTGTGATAGAGATAATGGAGACATTATATATTAAAAAAAGTATTGCACACTTATTTGCTAATTAAACTGCATTCAGTCATTCATTTATTTTCCAAAGTTGAATCATTTCAATACTGAGATTATTTCCGTCAAATCAAAACAATAAAACCGTTAACCGGCAAGCGAGTCGAATTGAGGAAAGGAATTTCACCTGTGAACAAAGTGCTTCACATTGTCTTGCCATTCACAACAATTAACGATGTTTGTGGATATGTATGTCATGTTATTTTGTGTATAATATAGGCATTTTTAAAATGTAATTTTCTTTGTTGGACCAGATTTTTATAAAAAAAAACCTCATCGCTTGACCATTAGGACTTTTTTAAGGTCAGGAGTCCTTAACTACAGACACTCAGGCCGGGCTAGTTCCTTGAACATAGCGAAAATGAGACGTGACCTTTGTATTAGACCACATATAAAGAAGAACTATTAGGTTGGGGAAAAATGTCGATAAAATCGGAGAAATGATCGACGTTGAGCGGCATGTTAACAGTCGCAACATCGCCCAGGAGCTAAAATTCGACCATAAAAATGTTTCAAACCATTTAAATAAAGCTGGATTCGATAAGAAGTTCGATGTTTGGGCGCCACAAAAATTAACAGAAAAAATAGGATGTATCGAATTTACATTGGCGAAGCCTTGGCCAAACAGAATGAGATAGATCCATTTCTTAAACGGATGGCAATTGGAACTGAGAAATGGATCATATACGATAACCCTGTGCGAAAACGATCGTGGTCAAAGATCAATACCTGGCCAAACCAGGACTAACGGCCAGAAAGGTTCTGCTATGTATTTGGTGGGACTGGAAGGGGATTATTTATTATGAGCGACTCCCATATTGTCACACGCTAAATTCTGTTCTCTACTGTCAACAACTAGACCGTTTGAAAATAGCAATTTAACTAAAACGGCCAGAATTGGCCAATAGTAGAGGTGTCGTGTTCCACCAGAACAACGCTAGGCCACAAACATCAACAGTGACTCGCCAGAAACTTCGGGAGCTTGGTTGGGAAGTTTTAATACATCCGCCATACAGTCCGGACTTGGCAACAAGCGATTATCATATTTTCCTTGCATTGCAAAATTTCTTTAATGATAAAAAAAATGGTATCTAGGGAAGATTGTGAAAATCGACTACTAGAGTTTTTTGCAAATAGAGAGCAGGACTTCTATGAGAGAGGCATTTGACCCAAACTGGACATTCCGAAGCATGTTAATGTCCTATAGTGTATATAAAAATAATGGATTTCTTTTTCCCCAACCTAATATATTGAATATGTTCTATGGTGGTGTTATATACCCTCTTATGAGGAGGCTATCCCGAGGTTTGGTCCTATATTGATAGATTTTCGGTAGACAGGTTTTCTATACGATTTTTCACTTAAAAGTCCGGGTCTATTTGAAATGCAAAATATTGAACGATTATAATGATTATAACATCGGCAGTGACAAGTAAAACAGACTAGCAGGGCTAGACTTCAACCGATATTGAAGTATCAAATTCCACCTAATATCTGTGGGTGGAAAACTCCAAAAGCTAAAAATTTGACGTCCGAATTTAGCCCAGAATGGTGTGTCTTGAGTTTTGTCGAATTTGGTTTAGATTTAGAACCCATTTATATTTTAATTCGATCATATGAACCAAATACCCAACATTTGTTCGATTCAATGACATTTTGCACAGAACTGTGTCCACCAGGGATGGTACGCCTACATTTAAAATCAAAAATCATTAAAGTGGAATATTTGGAGCAGAGGGACTTAGGAGCATATCTTGTATAAAACCAAAGTGGTGTATCATATATTCGGTTCGTCTGACTTCGGTCTTTATTGGAATACACATATACAGGTATTTTATTTCCATGTAGATATATTTACATAATAAAATTTAATTCTCAAATTTACTAAAACAATTTAAATGGATTAAATCCAGACGATGGACCTTCTGTTGTTTTTTCTTCTTTTTCCATTTTTAAATTTTCTGTATTCTCTTCGTCATCATCAAATGGGTTCGGTGACATTTCAGCTTCATAGTCCGCATCGTCACCATCTTCGCCATCGGCGAAATTGGAAGTAGTTATGGTAGTTGTAGGTCTGGGTGTAGTTGAAGTCGAAGGTCTGGTAGTAGTTGTTGTGGTAGTCGTTTTGGCAGTTGTAGTGGTTGTCGTACTTGGGGGTGTCATTGTAGTGCTCGGCCTTTTATAGGGACCACCTTGTTTCCAATATTGTTGACCTAAATATATATTTTCGTTAAATCACTTTCCCTAATAATTATTTCTTAAGAAAAAGTAATCCTCAGGACCTGTGGGTCTTGACGAATTTTTTTCTATAGAAAAAAAAACTGATCCTCAGGGTCCTGACGAATTTTTTTTCTATAGAAAAAAAGGATCCTCAGGATCCTGACGAATTTTTTTTCTATAGAAAAAAGTGATCCTCAGGGTCGTGACGATTTTTTTCTATAGAAAAAAAACTGAGCCTCAGGGTCCTGACGATTTTTTTCTATAGAAAAAAACTGATCCTCAGGGTCCTGACGATTTTTTTTCTATAGAAAAAAGTAATTATTATTGGCCTGAGGATTTTTCTCTATAGAAAGAAATCTAGTCGTCACGGACCTGATCAATGAATCTGATATTTTTGTTTTTTTTTTCACTATACTTACATTCTTCCAATTCCCGATGAAAATCACAAAATATATATCTGTCTAATTCCTCATCGGATATATGATGCCATGGTGCTGGTGGCCTGCGACGTGTTTCAAATATCTCAAAATATTCTGGCTCTGCAGATGGTCGACGTCGTACATAGCGGCGATATATTATAGGTGTATTACTTCCACTCGTTTGGAAATCTCTTCCACTTCGTAATCCGCCGTCAATGGGTATTGCATCGACATTACTAAAAGTGAAAGTGTACACAATCACTAAACTTACAGCTGATACAAGCGTTAATACGTTCATTACGATCGCAAATTTACGAGAAGAATGAATTCTAATATTTTTTTAGAAATACAAATATCATTTTTTTTTTTTTTGTTATTTATAAATCAAGACATCGAGCATCTTTTTTTGGTGTTTGCTGATAAAGTTAATTAAGTTCATGATCTTCATATTTTGTGATAGTGATCACGGGAAAATTATATACTACAAAAAGTATTGCATACCTTAGGGGATGTAAAAATAACGAGGCGATCTTCTATTGCCTTCGAATTCATGAAATTGACTTAACTGTAATATTGAATACTTTAGGGATTGTACTAACTGGAAAACACTTCAGAAATATTACACAGGGTAGTACAACCTTTCGAAATTTCTTATCAAATACACAAACCTATCAAATTAATAGTCTGAATTTTTGCATATATTTTTTTTATAACTATCAGATTATTAGGCGTGGATTTTTTAAATATATTTTTTCAATGACTATCAGATTATTAGGCGTGGATTTTTTAAATATATTTTTTCAATGACTATCAGATTATTAGGCGTGGATTTTTTAAATATATTTTTTCAATGACTATCAGATTATTAGGCGTGGATTTTTTAAATATATTTTTTCAATGACTATCAGATTATTAGGCGTGGATTTTTTAAATATATTTTTTCAATGACTATCAGATTATTAGGCGTGGATTTTTTAAATATATTTTTTCAAAGACTATCAGATTATTAGGCGTGGATTTTTTAAAAATATTTTTTCAATGACTATCTGATTATTAGGCGTGGATTTTTTAAATATATTTTTTCAATGACTATCAGATTATTAGGCGTGGATTTTTTAAATATATTTTTTCAATGACTATCAGAAGGACTAACTTGTAATTTTTTTAACATTTCCATGTTTTTCAATGACAATGAAATTTTTTCTATTCAATATCCCACAATAAAAATGCTTCATCTGCGGAATATGAATAAAATGTTAGCGTTACCAATAAAATGACGAATATTTCTTAGATATATGTAAATATTGTTTGAAATTATCTCTATGAAATGGACATTAAATGTGATTCACGTTATAGTGACTTTGTGTTAAATGTTTCTTGCAAAAATAAATCGTAGATATAGCTCGATATATTTATATAAATCTATTATAAATGAAAATTTAAATAAGAAATTAAACATTTATTTTCGTATTTGTTTATTTATAAATTGTGCGAAAATAATCTCTGCACAGCTAGCGAAACATAATTCAAACAAATAAAACAAAACAAAAATACTTTAAAATTAGTGATACATAAGATAGAACGTGTACATACATATATTTGCGAATGATTAGAAGTAAGAATATACATATATTTCAATATACATTATATTAATAATAAAGGCTGTAATTTCGGTTATAAGCGTGGATTTTTAAGGCATTATGGTGTTATAAGTTTTTTAAAATAATTGTTTGTTGTAACTCACATTTATTCAAGACGCACTATTGAGTGTGTTTTTCAAATACCTGCAAACTAAACTAATTTTTTAGAATAATACTTTTAACCTTCATATTAATTGAAATAAAAACTATTATCATTTTTTGTAAATTTTGGATTCATTTGGTATATTTTCGAGATTTTGTTATGTTTTTCATGATTATATGTTTTCTACAATATATATTTATCTAATTTTACCATTACGTTGTTGTCCCACGGTGGAAATACTCGCATTAAGATCTGAAAGTGAAAAAAACATTTGAAAATTTAATTATTAAACACACTTTATTTATTTGTATATATTATAGGTATGAGGTATGTTAAAGGGAGGGGGGTAACAATTGTTTTCATGAACTCTATAAGGAGAATTAGGAAGATGAAACACCATGTTTAACAAACATTTTATGTAAATGGTGCACCAAAGCCCCTATATGTCGTTCGATTTGCACGAAATTTGGCATAGGATACTGAATTTGGTGTAGAATGATGTGTGCTAAGTTTCGTGAAAATCGGTTCAGATATAGATATAGCTCCCACATATAGTTTCGTCCGATTTTAGGTAAATGGTGCACCAAAGTCCCTATATATCTTTCGATTTGCACGAAATTTGAATTAAGTGCAGAATGATGTGTATTAAGTTTCGTTAAAATCGGTTCAAATTTAGATATAACTTTATCAAATTTAGATATATATTTTCGTTCGATTTTATAGAAATAATGCCCAAAAGTCCGTAGATATCTTTCGATTTGCACGAAATTTGGCACAGGGTACTGAATTGAGTCCAGAAAGATGTGTGTGTGCTAAGTTTCGTGTACATCGGTTCAGATTTAGATATAGTCCCATTTGTATTTTCCAAGGGATTTAGGTAAATTTTGCACCGGTTGACACGAAACGTATCAAATTGAGACTAGAATGACGTTATAGCTTTCTTTAACTGGGGCAGATGCAGACACAAAAGGCTATCTGATTGAGATTAAATGTTTCCCATTATAAGCAATCGACGCTAAACTTGCCCGAATGTATGCCAGAAAGGCATACAGATCACATATTCAAGTTTGTTCAATGACATGTTAATGTTCTTTAGAAAAGGCGGAGTTTGTTAGGAGACATATGTAGAATATACCCAAAGAGGTGAAGGGTATCATATAGTCCGACTTTACTACTTTCCTTACTGGTTTATATTAAATTAGTTATCTGATTTGTTCCGCGTTTTGGGTATGGTTCTAAGACTCTGTTGAAATCATTTCACTTGCGGATAATATCGAGATAAAAAAATAGAACGTAAGGTTCGATAATGAACTTTATATGAACTATAGCCCGCATTTAGGCCTAGCCTCAGTCCCTGTGTGGGAGGTACCAGAAGGAGTGGACTGATATTCCCCATCTTCGAACTTGAACTAATTTTGGAAGAAATAATAAGATGAGCAAAGTTTGGATGAAATCCAAATTTTCTGAAACGGATTTGGTGCAAAGAAACATTTGGGTCTAGAACCAATATTTCGAAATAATATGAACACGATCTTACCATCACACGCAAAAAAAAAATGCGAATGGGGAGAACGATTACTCTTGTTCGTTCTTTTAATGAACTAAAACGAAGATCTTTGTAAGACCTAGTTCAGTCGCTCTTTTCAGGGAATCATTATTTTAGCTCGTTCGTGCTGTACAACTTTACTATAGACAAATAAAGTGTTGGAAATTGGTGAAAATCGGCTCACTTGCGGAGGATATATATATATATATGGGCAATATTGCCAATTTTTTAACATAGCTGAAGCGGAGGTTCACCCCTTTATAACTCGGGAATTACTTAAGTATACGAAAAAAAGTGAATAGTTTTGGGTTAATTGATCTGTCGTTGCAAACTGTTCATGATATTGACCTCCAAACTTTATTTTGGTGGAAGCTGTGTCGACTTTAATGTAAAAAAATGTGTAAAAACACGTTGAGGCGAACCAGTTTTTTTATGTTCTCTATCGATTTGTGACTAAATCACTCATTGCACGGTCTTCGTGTCAAAATAATACTAGAAGCCAACAAAATGGGGACTACGCCCCTTATGTACCATTTTTCAAAATTTTCACTACATCTACCTTTAAATGATGCTGACATTTTGAAGCTCGATTTTGAGTGTTTTTTTAATTTTACTTCTAGCTTTAATACGCAAACAGGAATTTATAAAAATCGATTATAAGATTATTGTAGTCGCGAATCTGCGTCATTTGATATGTATTTTGTGTATGTAGTATGCACAGCTTCAGAGTAATACTCATCCGAAGGTGCGAATTTTGTGCGATCAAATTTCTAAAAAACCTATTTTTCGGGCCAAATTTTTAGATCTGTCAACTGAATGATATGGGTACCCGCGATCAATAAGGGTTTTTACGTTTCGGATGATATAAAATCTTTTTCGTGAAAATCCATCTACTAGAACGGCGGGAACTGGCCTTCCAAAAACACGAAATTTGGCAAAAATTGTTTTTGAAAATATCGCGGATTTATTTGCGTTTTCTGTGCATCATTTCCGCTTCAATAAATGACCTCATACGGATTTTGATCTTTTTCGAAAAGAGAACTTTAAAAACTTCAGCCGAAAGAGAGATGTACGCAATTTATCTCAAAAATAGATTTTGCTGGCACATCCATGGTTCTTAATGGACCACATTGAAATCGGTATAGATCGATGTATTTTTTTAGGGTGCACACCGAAATCGGATGCGCGTTAATGGCATATGGAATTTTCGGAAATTATTCGCGTTTTACGATTTTTTGGGTACTTCAATGTAACGTGCGGCACATCTTAGCCGTCAAATGAAATTTCGCAAAATATACATGGATTGGAAGATAAACTTCAGTACTTCCTGGAAACCACATGCGCATCAAATGATTTTGAGGACTACGCGATTTAGACGCAATTTATCTCAAAAATAGTGTGAGCTGGCACATCCATGGTTCTTAATGGACCACATTGAAATCGGTATAGATCGATGTATTTTTTTAGGGTGCACACCGAAATCGGATGCGCGTGAATGGCATATGGAGTTTTCGGGAATTATTCGCGTTTTACGATTTTTTGGGTACTTCAATGTAACGTGTGGCACATCTTAGCCGTCAAATGAAATTTCGCAAAATATATATGAATTAGAAGATAAACTTCAGTACTTCCTGGAAACCGCATGCGCATAAAATCATTTTGAGAATTACGCGATTTACACGCAATTTAAAATGTATATTTCATAATATTATTTTATTTTAAGATATATTCCTATTTATAGAATTCTAAGATTTATGGGAGGCTCTTGATATAATCCGCAAGGCGTATACTTATACACAAAAAGTGATTATTATTATATATGTCAATTTTTCGGCGAAATTCGGGTAAAATAGCAGAATAACCCCAACATTTTTTTCTGAAATTTCTTGTATAAAATTAATAAAATAAATATGATGACATTATTTTTTCGAACCAAAAACAAATATTTTTCCTCAATATCTTGTTTTGTTGTCGCTGTGATTTACAAACCGCTACACGGACTTGTGTAATTTTGATATCATTTGATTCAATATGGTGTTTAGATTATGTAGATTTTTTTAAATTAATTTTTAGGTGTGTGTATGTCATTAATATAATGAAAATATTGATGTAATCTGCTAATTTTTTTTATTTTTCTCATATTTCGCGAATATGTGCAACTTTATCGTGATTATTATAATATATTCATATTCTTATTTTACGGAGGAAGATATATATCAACGTTTTTGGTCAATATAATAAACGGCGTAATTTTAAGATTTTTTTCTTATGCTCAAAATTAAAACCCCGATAACTTTTGCGCGCATCAACCAAAAATTTGATCGCGAACAGTTTCGGAGTCAGAACATTTTTCTCTATATGTGTACCAAAAATCATTGATGTGCCACAAAAACAAAAAAGCTGATTTTTTGAAAATGGAATATTAAAAAATTGGCAATATTGCCCATATATATTTTTTTTTTTTTGAAATCGGTTCAGATTTAATTTCGGATCCCATATAATTTATTTAAATGGTGCATCAAACTCCCAATGTTTGTCCGATTGAGACAACATTTTAAATAGGGTATTTAATTGAGTATTTGTTGAAATCGGTTCAGATTTAGATATAGCTCCCATATATTTTTCTTCCGATTTTATGCAAATGGTGCACCAAGCCCCTTGGTATAGAAAATATATCCCAACGTAATAGACGTGGAATCTGATAAAAGTATATATGGAGCTTTGGCTTAATCGGAACTGATTTTCATTTGGTCCTTGGGCCAATTTCATCACATTCGGATCATTTTGCACTTTGTGACAGACGAATGGACAGGTTCACTCAAAAAATAAATCTAAAATCGAGGTGATAAATATTCTGGTATGAATTACCCTCGCAGTCATTCGTGGGTCTTTGAAAACAACAGAACCTACCCTTGAGCAACCGGACGAAACTTATAGTTATACATAATGCTGCAGATTATAAAAACAATAATTCTATCCGATACAATTCTAGAAAATACACGCTTTATTTTTGCACACCGAGTATGTTATTTTTGTGCGAATGCTGGTGATATCCTACCTTTGGTTTCATTACGTTTATATCGCCGATGATGGACACAATTGCAGCCACCACTTTGGACAACGGCTGGTTCGGGTTCAATGACAATTTTTGGGTTCTCCTCCCGTATTTCTTCAATATTATTTTCTTCCTTCTTTGTGTCATCTTTACTGATGACCGTTACGGCCAATGACTCATCTCGATCCTCTGATAATAATTTATCCTTATTGGGTAATATAACGTTATTATCACTTAATAGGCGACGTATTGGCAACAACTTCCTTCTTCGTTCCTTGGTGGATGGGGTGGTGGAGGCCTCACTCAATGGACTGGCGGCGGCATCAAAAACGGGTGGTGTCAGCGACAATTTTGACGGCGTTTCATTACGATTAAGGCTATCACTGGAGGAGATGTATTTTTGTGGCTTACGTCGCAGACGGGTACGGGAATTTTGACTACTGGAACTATCCTGATGCACTATTAAAGTACCAGCTTCATCAGTGCGTAGAGAATAACGTGGACCAGCAGCCTCATCGCCATCTTCCGATTCGGGCGACGAAAAACGACCCTTTTGATAACTTAAACGTTCCAAAATGGAACTACTTGTTCGACTGGGCAGTCTACCGGAACTGTGAGAACGACGATATTTACGTTTCTCACGAGGACCCGACGATGATGAGGTGGTGGGTGTTGTCGTTGAGGGGGGAGTGGGTAGAAAATCGGGTATTTTAGAATCATGATCAACATTGAATCGAACACCCTTGAGGGACGAGGAACGTGGCGATGAATCGGGTAAATCACCGATGTGTAAATCGATGGGTTTGCGACTGTGACTGCGACTACGGTTACGTATTGTGCTCGTTGGCGTCGTCGTGGAGGTATTTGTTGTGAAGGCGGAATTTTTCCTTGGGGTCGGCGGTACCTCTTCTATGTGCAGGCCATCGAATTCTTTTTCCAAAGCTTTACGTACGGAATGCGTTAAGTTGGTGGTGGCAGATCTATGCGAAGAGTATGGACGTTTTTTGGGTTTCGCTGGGGTAGGTTCATAGTCTTCTTGTTTGTAAATTTGTTCGCTGTTGGCATCGCCACCTGCATCCGGGGGTGCATCCACCAGCAGATTACCCTTGTGATCGTAAAGTAAGATGCGGGGTAAGGCAATGTTGGAACATGACTTTGAGGTGGTCAATTCCCATTTCCAATGATTGGGTTTACGTAGTTGTAGGCTGAGGATATTCGCCAGAGGATCATAGTCGTTGTGGTTGTTGGTGTTTTGGCTGGACTTCTCAACATATTCTAGTTCGTCGGACGAATCATTGTTATCGATATGATAACTAAAATAATTATTGTTTGCTTTTAATGCACCAGGTGTGCCAGCTCTTGTTGATCTTGACGTTTTCTTAATTGGTGTCGTTGTAAAGGAGGTTGAGGCGGAGGATGATGCGGCATCAGCTGTTGCTAGGTGTTGTTGTGGATTCCAACGTTGATGTCGCCGTCGCTGTTTGTTCATAAACAAATCTGACATTGTAAAATTGCATTCAGGAAACACTTGTGAGATTTTCGTTAACACCCACAAAGACGTGTGACCATACGCCTCGTGATCCTCTCCTTTCTGCTCTCTTGATCACCCACAATGAAAGACCACTGCCCCTCAAAGTCTTTGGGGTTTTTTTGTTTTTCCTTTTTATGAAAAATTAATGATTCAGTGTAAAATATTTTGGTCGGTTTTGTTTTGAGTTATTTTTCGCGTTTGTGTGTTGTTTTTTTGCTAATTTTTTGACATTCACATTCACATCAAATTGTTTTGTTGTTTTTGTTGGGCAAATCTTTTTGCAATCCATCCATCCACCTGTTGTCAGAAAAACGGATTCAGCTACTCTGTCATCAGCATGAACTCATTTTACGGATACTTGTAGATCGCGTTATTAGTGCATCTATGAGGTGGCTTGGATACATGTATGTGTGTATGTCACCATAGAAATTGGGAAAAAGGGGACAACGGACGCTTCTCGTCGTCGTTGCTTGGCCAAATGTTGAAGATCAACATTTAGCCGCTGGCCCGAAGCCAACTGCCACAACAACAAAATAAACAAAAATATTTAAATTTTATTGTTGTTGTTGTTTGATTTTTCACTTGCTTTATAACACGAACACACACAAAAAATATTTGTTCTTCTATTTATTTCAGATCTCAATGAGCCGATGGCAGTTTATTTTTATTATAGTTTTTATTTTTTCAACTCCCCTCCTGCACTGCACGGTCTAGGTATTTTTAGAATTATTTTCTATTTTTCAGATATTTTGATTTGGTGTTCCCACAACAACAACACCAAGAGTACATATATGAATATGTGACGCCACTGAATGGGCTATTGTAAGTCAACAGCAAGTGAAATGGGCCTGACGGTGGGTGGTGGTGTTCGATCGTTCGGTCACAGGCAGCCGACATGCATGCATTGATGTTCCGATACTCTTGATTTCAAGTGGTTGGTTGCAGGTTTTTCCTTTCATTTGGTTTTCAATGAAACTCTTCAAAAGTAATTGTTTTTGTAGTTTCAAGATTTTTTTTTTTTTGCAATTTTTACAATAACAAATATATTTATTATTCAATGAATTTTTTTTATGTTTTTTTTTCACTTGATTTCAGCACTCATATATTATATACACATCCATAATATTTTTTATATTTTAAATAATTTCACTTCGATGTGGATTATTGTGCGTACACATGTGACGTTCAGTGTTGGCCAGATGATGATATTTGTGTGTAAACAAAAACAAATGGCGTTCTCCTCAACTTCTGTTTTCAAAAATTATGGTTTTTTCTTTTTTAGTATTTTCTATATTATTATTATTTTTTTAATTAAAAAAAAAATAATTCACTCTGCCACACACAAAATTACCGTCCGAATGCCTTAGAACATTTTGCCCAACTGTTTTCGGCAACTGAGCAGCATCCGTGATCAGATAGCACAATACTGCGTAATCACGGCACGCTCACTCTCACCGTAAATGTGTTGAGTTGAGAGAGCCCAAAAAACATATGACCAATTTCTTTTTGGTAGCTTTTCATTAGCTGTGTTTTTCACGATTCGCATATTTTTTTCGCATATATTTTCTCACATAGTATTTGGAAACAAACTAACAACAAAATGGCATATGTTGCTCCCACAATATTATTTTTTTCGCATAGATTATATATACTTTGGTGGTCAGGGTTAGGATGTCATGATAGAGGGTTCATAATTTCGGAAAGAGAATAAGAGATATTTAACCAGTAAGGAATGTAGTAAAGTCGGACGAGACCGACTATATTGTTACGTTATTGGATTTTACCGTGTAGACGTTGTTTTATTTCCCAATACAGCTCGTACCAAATAAAACGCGGGTTCCTTCGGATTACGATTATTACAATGATTTTATTCACACAACTTTACTTTGCACTTTACTTTACTCGACGGTTTCAATTCGCGATCTGATTCACAACTGACTAACTGCCTTTCCATTTCCCTATTTATATGAGCCTCGCCTGTCGCTACAGAAGTTTCTAGATGATCTGGTAACATCTAGATTACGAACAATCTACATATGCAACAAACACATACAACCTTACAGTGAGTAAACAATAACAACAACACATATACAGGCGAGGGGGTAACAAAGAAAGAGGAATTGAGCGATCATCAATGATGACGTTTAACAAAAATTGTACGCCAACAACAAAATAGACAATGAAAGAGGAAATGGAAGGATGTAGAAAAATCTATACAGTAGTTGTTGTTGTGAAGTTATTCAAATAAACTGCGTAGTAAAAATTTAGGTTAAAATTCAAATCCTTAAATTAACGGAATTCATCTAAATTAACTTAAATCTAAAGTTATATTCGTAACAATATGATACCCTTCACCACTTTGGGTATATTAGACATATGAATTCTAACAGACGTCGCATTTTTAAAAGACGAGTAAAATTAAATTGGCTCCATAAACATGTCACTCTACAACCGAAACTAGATTTTTCATTTGGCCAGATATAGAATATATATCTAAATCTGAACCGAACCACACGTCATTATAGACCTAAGTCATTACGCTGTGCCAAATTTCGTGCAAACCGAAAGATATTAAGGGACTTTGGTACACCATTTACATTAAATCGGACCAAAATATATATGGGAGCTATATCCAAATCTGAACCGATTTTCAAGAAACTTGACACACATCATTCTAGACCTAATTCATGCCAAATTTCGTGCAGATCGAAAGATATATAGGGACTTTGATGCACCATTTGCATTAAATCGGACGAAAATATATATGGGAGCTATATCCAAATCTGAACCGATTTTCAAGAAACTTGACACACATCATTCTAGACCTAATTCATTACGCTGTGCCAAATTTCGTGCAAATCGAAATATATATAGGGACTTTGGTGTACCATTTACCTTAAATCGGACGAAAATATACATGGGAGCTATATCTAAATCTGTGCCGATTTTCAGGAAACGTAACACACATTATTCTAGACTTAAATCTATCGAAAGATATATAGAGACTTTGGTGCACCATTTACATTAAATCGGACAAATATATATATATATATATATATGGGAACTATATCTAAATCTGAACCGATTTTTCCCAATTTCAATAGGGTCCGTCCTTGGACCGAATAAGTGACCTATGCCAAATTTCATCCAATTCGGATCATAAATGCGACCTGTACTTTGTTCACAATTTAACATGGACGGACAGACGGACGGATGGACGGACATGCATAAATCGACTTAGAAAGTGATTCTATGCATATTCTCAAAAGGATCCATTTGTCTATCTCGTTTCCTTTTGCCTGTTACAAACATATGTACAAAGACATAATACCCTGTACCACAGTGTGGTGAAGGGTATAAAAAGTGTCTGTCAGTTTTGCCGACATACATATAGCCTCAGCATATCGTAAGTAGTATACACTAATATAGATAGAGGAGGTCCCAGAGATGATGGTTCCTTATATCCGATTGTACTAAATACCAAATTTTTACTGAATCGAATACATGATTCGATGGTTTTCTTCTTTAGTCTTGGTTTGGGTTTGGGAAAAATA